TGGACTATAGTCAGAACTATATACATATATACTATACGCTCGACTATAGATAGCCTATAGTTTGGTCTATAGATAGACTATAGTCTGGTCTATAGAAAGACTATAGTCTGGTCTATAAATATATTATAGTCTAGTTTATAGATAGACTATTGACTGGTCTACAGACAGACTATAGTCTGGTCTATAGATTGACTATAGTCTGGTTATAGATTGACTATAGTTTGGTTTATAGAGAGACTATAGTCTGGTCTATAGACTATATTCTGATCTATAGATAGATAATAGTCTGATCTATAGATAGACTATAGTCTGGTCTATAGATAGACTATAGTCTGATCTGTAGATAGACTATAGTCTGGTCTATAGATAGATTATAGTCTATTCTATATATAGACTATAGTCTGGTCTATAAATAGATTCTTATCTAGTTTATAGATAGACTATAGTCTGGTCTATAGACAAACTATAGCCTGGTCTACAGACAGGCTATAGTCTGGTCTATAGAATGACTATAGTCTGGTCTATAGACAGACTATAGTCTGGTCCATGGATTGACTATAGTCTAGTCCATAGATTGACTATAGTATGGTCTATAGATAGACTATAGTCTGATCTATAGATAGACTATAGTCTGGTCTATAGATTGACTATAGACTAGTCTATAGATTGACTATAGTCTGGTCTATAGATTAACTATAGTCTGGCCTATAGATTGTATTAGTCTGGTCTATAGATTGACTATAGTCTGGCCTATAGATTGTATTAGTCTGGTCTATAGATTGACTATAGTCTGGCCTATAGATTGTATTAGTCTGGACTATAGATAGACTATATTTTGGTCTGTATAGTCTGGTTTAGGGATTGACTATAGTCTAGTCTATAGATAGACTATAGTCTAGTCTATAGATAGACTATAGTCTGGTCTATAGATAGACTATAGTCTGCTCCATATATTGACTATAGTCTGGCCTATAGATTGACTATAGTCTGGTCTATAGATTGACTATAGTCTTGTCTATAGATTGGCTATAGTTTGGTCTATAGATAGACTATAGTCTGGTCTATGGATAGACTATAGTCTAGTCTACAGATAAACCACAGTCTGCTCTATAGATAGACTATAGTCTGGACTGTAGCTAGACCATAGTCTGCAAGATAGTTAGACTATAGTCCTTACTATAGATAGATTATAGTCTGAACTATAGATAGACAATGGTCTCGGCTATAGATAGACAATAATCTACACTATATATAGACTATAATCTGCAAAATAAGTTTAAAATTTTGTAACATTTGCTATACATATTTTAACGAAAATTTAAAAATTTAAAAAATTTCAACTTGATATTATTTTATTTCACATTTTTCTTTTAAATCAAATCACCAAATTTTAAAGGGAGTGTCAGCTTTATTTTTGTCATCATTATTTTTGAAGTCTGCATTAATTATAACCCAAAAAAAAGTATTTTTGTCTCAGCGTAATTCTTTTCATTTGTTTTGTTTAATTTTATTGTTTGTTTTAATAAATTTGGAAGCAACAATGTTATTGAACTTAAAAACAAAAATATTAATAAAAACAAAAAAGCATACTAAGGCTTAATTAATAAAAAAAATATATAAACGTACAATTAACTAAAGCAGAGAGGTGGCTTGGCTGTCTGGCTGTTTGTTGTAGATTTTATGGTAGCATTGATGGTTGACCAAGATAATGAAATTTACTTTTAAAGTCTATGCGAATACCTATAGATTTTTAATCTCTCTTTCTATAACCATGAAAAAACGCTATATTTTTTTTTTATACAATTTATTTTTAATCATAGTATTTATTTTGATTTTTTTAATAATTTCACAACAATTTTATTTAATTAATTCTTTATTTTATTTTACAGTTTACTATAATTGCTGTTTAAACACTTAAACAAAATTCATGGGCATACAAATGCAACTTGTAAATAATATATTTATAATCAAACATCGTCATCAGCAGAAGCATCAGCAGCGGCAGAAACAACTGAAACAAGAACAATTACAGCAACAGCCACAGGAACAAAATAAAGAGCAACAATTTAGAAAACGACAACAAATATTTGATCCACTTTAAAAGATTTATTTCTTTCTTTGTTTGAGTCTCAGTCAACCAGTCGTCACTAAAGTCAACATTGGAAAAAAAAAAGAAATAAAACGCAGTCTCAGCAATTTATAAAAGCGCGTCAACAGCGTTTAAATAAATAAATAAAATAATTCATAAATAAAAGGAAAATCAAATAATAAAAAAAAAAAACAAACCACAATAATCATTGATATAAGAAGAAAATAACAACAACAGTAAAATAATAAAATAAACGTGTGTAGAAGAGAATAAGTATACAAATAAACTCAACAATAAGTGTATTTGTTACTTATAACTTCTGCCATCCAAAGAACACTTTATCAATTTCAAAAAAAGACATGTAAGAGCGCAATACTTATTTAAAATTTAAATTTTACTTTTCTTTTTTTTGGACATTTGAGTTATCTATCTATCTATCTATCTATCTATCTATCTATCTATCTATCTATCTATCTATCTATCTATCTATCTATCTATCTATCTATCTATCTATCTATCTATCTATCTATCTATCTATCTATCTATCTATCTATCTATCTATCTATCTATCTATCTATCTATCTATCTATCTATCTATCTATCTATCTATCTATCTATCTATCTATCTATCTATCTATCTATCTATCTATCTATCTATCTATCTATCTATCTATCTATCTATCTATCTATCTATCTATCTATCTATCTATCTATCTATCTATCTATCTATCTATCTATTATCTATCTATCTATGTATCTATATATCTATCTATCTATCTATCTATCTATCTATCTATCTATCTATCTATCTATCTATCTATCTATCTATCTATCTATCTATCTATCTATCTATCTATCTATCTATCTATCTATCTATCTATCTATCTATCTATCTATCTATCTATCTATCTATCTATCTATCTATCTATCTATCTATCTATCTATCTATCTATCTATCTATCTATCTATCTATCTATCTATCTATCTATCTATCTATCTATCTATCTATCTATCTATCTATCTATCTATCTATCTATCTATCTATCTATCTATCTATCTATCTATCTATCTATCTATCTATCTATCTATCTATCTATCTATCTATCTATCTATCTATCTATCTATCTATCTATCTATCTATCTATCTATCTATCTATCTATCTATCTATCTATCTATCTATCTATCTATCTATCTATCTATCTATATCTATCTATCTATCTATCTATCTATCTATCTATCTATCTATCTATCTATCTATCTATCTATCTATCTATCTATCTATCTATCTATCTATCTATCTATCTATCTATCTATCTATCTATCTATCTATCTATCTATCTATCTATCTATCTATCTATCTATCTATCTATCTATCTACCTATCTATCGATCTATCTATCTATCTATTTATCAATCTATCTATGTACCTATATATCTATCTATCTATTTATCTATCAATCTATCTATCTTATCTATCTATCTATCTATCTATCTATCTATCTATCTATCTATCTATCTATCTATCTATCTATCTATCTATCTATCTATCTATCTATCTATCTATCTATCTATCTATCTATCTATCTATCTATCTATCTATCTATTATCTATCTATCTATCTATCTATCTATCTATCTATCTATCTATCTATCTATCTATCTATTTATCTATCTATCTATCTATCTATCTATCTATCTATCTATCTATCTATCTATCTATCTATCTATCTATCTATCTATCTATCTATCTATCTATCTATCTATCTATCTATCTATCTATCTATTTATCTATCAATCTATCTATGTATCTATATATCTATCTATCTATCTATCTATCTATCTATCTATCTATCTATCTATCTATCTATCTATCTAATCTATCTATCTATCTATCTATCTATCTATCTATCTATCTATCTATCTATCTATCTATCTATCTATCTATCTATCTATCTATCTATCTATCTATCTATCTATCTATCTATCTATCTATCTATCTATCTATCTATCTATCTATCTATCTATCTATCTATCTATCTATCTATCTATCTATCTATCTATCTATCTATCTATCTATCTATCCGGACTATAGACAGATTGTACCCTATAGACTTTAGCCTGGAGTACATGTAAGGAATTGTCTGGACTATAGATATGCTATAATCTGAACTGTAGATAGGCTATAATCTGGACTATAGGGTATAGTTTGGAGTAAAGATAGATTCTTGTCTGAACCACAGCCTGTATTATAGATAAACTATCGTCTTGATTTTCAATAAAATATAGCCTGGGCTATAAATAAAATGTGGTCTGTATTATCGATAGGATATAGCCTTAAACTATAGTCTGGACCATAGATATCTTGACAATAGATTTTCTACTATAAATAGATCTTATTTAAGTGCTACATAAATTATATACCTATCTAATTTTACGCTTCTTTTATCTCATTTCAGTGCAAAACCTTTATCAGTCTCCTTAAGGTTTTACCAACCAGTCCTGCTTCATCCAAACACACAACAGTAGAATGGCGCTAACATCACAATTATCTCTAGTGGTCTCATTCATAGTTGGCGTCTGCATTTTTAAAACACCTCTAGAAGTGGATGGTCATATACTCGTCTATCGACGCCTAACCAATCAGGTTATTGTAAATTTATAACTACAACTTTAAATTGTGGAATATAGTTTAATTATTGTAATTTTTCTTTTACATGTCAATCATCATTAGTTAATTGAAGAGTATAATGATATGCCAGCACAGTTTGGTCCTAGCTTACCGACAAATGGTATTAAGGTATTTGCGATACCAGCCGTACCACATGAAGAGGCTTGTGATAAGATAAGTCCACCACCAAAATCGTTTTATCCCAGCAATGCTAAATTTGCCGCCATCATACAAAGGTATTTTAGTTAGAAATTAATTATATGTGTTAATTTAGTTAACATTGTTTTTTGTTTTGTTTTTTATTTATATTTAATACTCCTTTCCTTTTTTCCGTTTAAAATATTTAAAAAAATATAATGCATAAAAAACAAAAACCTTGCTGAATTTGTTGTAGTAATCAAAGGTATATTTTTCTTACTTTTCTTTTTACACTTAGATTTCTTTACACTTTCTTTTAAGAATGTTTTAATAAAAGGGAAAACCTTAATGCATTTTTGATATTTTCTTTTCATATGTAAAACTCATAGCAATTTAATGAAATAAGTTTGCAGAAAAAACAGGCTTGAAAAATAAACTAATCTTTTATGAATCATGGGTTTATTAATCATAATTTTTGTTAAACCATTATAAAAATGGAAAATATTTGTACATTTTAGCTTTAATTAAAACACATTTATACAATTACACTTCATTCGCTCTTCATTTCATTAAGTTTCCCACACTCACCCTCTACGCTCTGTTTCATTATATTTATTTGAAACTTAACTTTTTAATTTTATTTTATTTACTACAAATCAAAAGTTTTAATTAATTAACTTTAAACTTATTTCTATACTCTTTCTTGAAATTCTTTTTTTTTTTAGAGGCGGCGTTGATTGTACATTCGAATTAAAGGTACGCAATGCACAGGCAGCTCGTTTTGATGCTGTTGTCATCTATAACAATGAAAGTGATGATTTAGGTAAGAATTATGGAATGAAAATAATGAAATAATTCTAATGAATTCGTTATACTTTTCTACTAGAACATATGTCAGCACAAAATTCTAGCGGCATTTTAATACCTTCAGTTTTTGTGGGACGTACCACGGGTACAAATTTAAAAACATTCTATACTCCTGAAATTGTTTTAGTCATTAATGATGAGCTGCCTTTTAATATAAATACACAATTAATTTTACCATTTTCCATCTTAATTGGTTTATGTTTTTTGATTATGGTAAGTAGTTTCTTGTTAATTACATAATGAAGTTATGAAGTTCCATTAATTATATAAATTTTCAGATTTTTTATATGATTTACAAATGCATAAGAGAAGAAAGACGTTTGAGACGTCATCGTTTGCCCAAAAGAATGTTAAAAAAGCTGCCGATTATAAAGTTTACGAAAAATAGCGATCTCGCTTATGATACCTGCGTTATATGTCTGGATGAATTTGCCGAGGGTGATAAATTACGTGTGCTGCCCTGTAAACATCGTAAGTAAACAAATATCATTAACATACTTGTCATTAATTAATTCCTCTCTCTCTCTCTCCAGCTTATCACAGTGAATGTATTGATGTTTGGCTAACCGAAAATAAACGTGATTGTCCCATTTGTAAGCGTAAGGTTTTTACGAAAGGCGAAACCCGATCACAGCGGAATCGACAGTCTTCATTGGATAGTATAACAGATACGGATGATGATACCACACCACTGTTACAACAATCCACTAATACTTCTGTGAATTCAACCGTTTCGCCTATAAGTTCAAATAGTGGTTCAACTAGAAGTCATGGTACATTTCGTCGTGGTGGTAACAATATCGAAGCTGGTGCTGGTGGAGACATTACATCAGATGATGAGAATAGTGAGTAGAAATCAATGTTTTCTCTTAAAGATTTTAAAAATTTGAGTTAAATTTCAGAGTTTTAGGGACTTATTCATATAAACATTTATCAAAGGTTTATGAATAAGGTTAGTAGGGTTCTATAGTTGAAACGAAAAGTCGACTTTTCGACTTTTTTCATTTAGTTAAAAGTCGACTTTTCGACTTTTTGCATTTTATGAAAAGTCGATTTTTCGACTTTTTCCGACTTTTCGACTTTTCGATTTTTTCGACTTTTTGACTATTTTCGACTTCTTTCTACTTTTTTCCGACTATTTTTTGACTTTTTTCGAGTTTTTCCGACTATTTTAGCGTTTTTGACTTTTTTCCACGTTTTTAAAATTTTTGACTATTTTTGACTTGTTTCTACAATTTTCGATTTTTCGACTTTTTCCGACTTTTCGACTTTTTCCGACTTTTCGACTTTTTCCGACTTTTTCCGACTTTTTTCGACTTTTCGACTTTTTTCGACTTTTTACGACTTTTCGACTTTTTTCGACTTTCTTCGATTTTTTTCGACTTTATTCGACTTTTTTCGACTTATCGACTTTTTTCGACTTATCGATTTTTTTCGACTTTCAGACTTTTCGGCTTTTTTCGACTTTTATTCACAAAGTCGACTTTTCGACTTTTTTCACAGACGATAGTCGAGTTATCGACTTTTTTTGGAACAAAATAGTCGACTTCGACTTTTCGACTTTTTTCGACAAAAAGTCGATTGTTCGATTATTCGAAAGTCGATTTATAGAACCCTAGTCGTTAGAGTAAAAACAGAGTTGTTGTGTAAAAGCAGAGTCGTTGTGTAAAAACAGAGTTGTTGTGTAAAAACTGTGTTTTTGTGTAAAATTTAATAGAAATTTTGTATAAAAAATTAAATTATTAACAAAAACTTTCTTATATCTCAATTTTGTTTCTTTAGTGCTTTCACCTGCCCGACGTGTAAATCCCTTTGATCGTTCACCCAATTTACCGCCACATTTGCAGGCTCAATTGAATAGTGAATCGCGAAACAGTTCCATATGGTCTTGGCCGGTTTTAAGGTAATTCTAATTTTATAACAAAATAAACAACAAAATTTTTACAAATTTTTTCCATCTCTCTCCCACAGATGGTTTAGACAACCCACAACTCTAAGTGTGGCCGCTCCACCCTATTTAGAAGACACTCTACATGATGTTATAGCTGAACAACAGGGTGGTCCTATGGCCACAACAACTGCTAGTAATGTAAATAATACTATAAACTCTACATCAACGTTAAGAGCTTCACACTCTTCGAATAATGTTTTAAATCCGAATTTAAGTGGTTCTTTTAAAGACGGCGGTGGCGACGATGATGACGATGATGATCCACCACTACAGTGTATATATGAACCCATAGCAACAACCACAGCAAATCGTACAAGTCCATCAGGGTCTAATACATCAAATGCGTCGTCGTCGTCTAATCGTCGTCCACCTCGTCCCGAGGTGGCAATGGATGCAAATCCAGATTCTGTTTTTATACAAACTCCTACACAGGGTGGCATTGCAGTAGCTGCTCTGCCACCCAATAATAATAATAATCATAATAATGTTAATACGGCGTCCATGAATAGCTATTGGTAATATGACGCTTGAAAGGGAAATGTCATAATTTTAGTTTTATCGTTTTGGGGGAGTGTTTAAAGAGATTTATACATGAAATTAAACATACATAGAGATATACAGATATAGGAATTGTGGGTGTTATCTCTCAACAGTTTGTCCACCACAACAAGTAAGTGAACAATTTATATTCATTTTTTTTACTTATTTTCTAAAAAGTGTTTAACTACTCAACAGATTTTTTTAGGTTTTACTGAGTTTTTTATGTCAGATTTTGGTTTAAAATCTTAAGTATAGGAAATAGTTTCTTTCCAAACTCTAGAATCTGTTTAGTATGCTTTAACACAGCAAAACAGTTTTGTTATTATTTATTGAAAATATTTGTTAGTAAAATATTTGTAATGAAATATAAGGATATTGTCTTTAATTCGGGAAGAATTGGAATACTTAATGCAAAGTGTTTTAAACGTAAAGTTTGCTATAATAAAATTATAGTCAAGGGGTCAAAGTTTTGATCCTATGAAACAGATTAGTCTACTGATTGTTCTATGGACAAGCCTACTGATTAAACTATTAACTTGCATATAGTCTAGTCTGTGAAGAAGTCTATAGGGTAATTTATGGTCTAAGGTCTAGTCTTTGGAATAGTCTATTGACTACTCTATGAACTAATCTATTGACTAGTCTATGAACTAGTCTATTGACTAATCTAAGTACTAGTCTTTTGAAGAGTCTATTTAATAGTATATTGGTAAGTCTATTGACTGTTCTATGGACTAGTCTGAGGCCTAGTCTATTGACTATTCTATGGACTAGTCTAGTCTGTGGCCTAGTTTATTGACTATTCTATGGACTTGTCTGTGCACAAGACTGTAGACTGTTGTCTAGTCTGTGGACTAGTTTATTGACTATTCTATGGACTAGTCTATACACTAGACTGTAAACTGTTGTCTAGTCTTTTGAATAGTTTATGGATTAGTCAATTCACTAGTTTATTGACTACTCTATGGCCTATTATATTGACTATTCTATGGACTAGTCTATGTAGTATTAACTCGATTATTGATTTGTCTAGTCTATGGCCTATTATATGGACTAATCTCTACATTAAAATTTTACTATTTTTTTTTTAAATAAAATCCTAAACAAATATTTAAAGAATGAATTTTTAATAATAATTTAAAAAATTGGTCCTTCGAACCCTTTACAACATTCTTTTTATGAAAATGTATTCCAACAGCATCTTTTAAAAATTGCTTCTTTTCAACATCTATTCGATATCATGTAATTTGTTTAACATTTTAGAATTATTCAAAAACATTATGGTCCTTCCAACCCTAGATTCAAAATCAATTAGAAATTATATATTTTACTTATACGAATAATATTCAAGTGGAAAATATGGTCCTTCTCGCTCCTCTAAATGTTTTTAATATTATCTTTTATATATTATCTGTTTAAGATTTGAAAATAAGTTGGTCCTTCGAACCCATAAGCACGTTTTGTTATTCTCTTAATTATCTGCAAATCAAAGAGACATTTTCCCTCGAATCTCTTTAATGGTTTCATTTAAATGAAAAATATTAATGAGAGAGATTTTGGTCTTTCGAACCTCCTTTAAGTAATTGTTCATTCATTTAAAACTTCATATTGGTCCTAAGAACCCGTCTGTCTTTCTTTTATAGAAATTTTATATGGAAATTTATTACAAGTTTATATGAAATAGATTTGTTTTTATAAAATTGAAATATGGTCCTACGAATCTATGACTGAAAGTTTTGCAAGAGAAATTTTTTGCTTTTGGTTTGTATTGGTCCTACGAACCCGTCTATATTTCTTATATAATATAAATTTACATGAAAATCTATATAATATTTAAAAATTTATATGAAATAGAAAAAATAAATGAAAACTGAATGCGGGGTTTGCAATGCGGAACTGCAAAATTATAGAGAAATTATTAAAAGAAAAGCTTTAGGGATTTTTTTTACATATATAAGATAAAGTTAACAAATAATTTTCAATAAAAATTTGGTCCTTCGAAACTTTAAAAACCTTCCATTTTGAAAAAAATTCCTAAAAATCTTTAGCAATAAAAGTTCGAAATGAAAATTAATATTTTCTTAAAAATTAACATATTTTTTGTTAAAAAAGAAAGTAACTAAATAATTTGGTCCTTCGAACCTTTGAAAATATTTTTATTAAAAAAAATTTAGTTGTTTACTTTTTGTCGGTCTTACTTTTATAATAGAGTTTTGTAAGAAAATTAATTAAAAATTTATATGAAATTGGAAAAAAAAAAAATAAAAAAATTGTTATCAAATTGAAATTTGGTACTACGAACCCATGTATAAAGGTTTTGTAAAAGAACTTTATTTAAAGAAAATATATAAAATTAATTGAAGAGAAAAGAAATTATTAAAAGAAAACCTTCAGAAAGTAAAGAAACACTTTTCATTAATTTGGTCCTTCGAACCTTTAAAAAAGTTTATTTTTTAAAAAATAGCTTACAAATCTTTAGCAGTACTTGTTCAAAAACAAAATTATAAAAAGAAAACCTTGAGATAGTTTTTATTTTCTATAAAAGAGAAAGTAAAAAAAATAATTTTCAATAAAAATTTGGTCCTTCGAACCTTTAAAAAAGTAAATTTTTAAAAAATTGTTTACAAATCTTTAGCAGTACTTGTTCAAAGAGAAATTATTAAAAAAAATATTTAGAGAGTTTTTTTTCTATATAAGAGAAACTAAATAAATAATTTTCATTAAAATTTGGTCCTTCGAACCTTTAAAAAAGTTCATTTTTTAAAAAATAGCTTAAAATCTTTAGCAGTACTTGTTCAAAGACAAAGTTATAAAAAGAAAACCTTTAGAGAGTTTTTTTTTCTATAAAAGAGAAAGTAAAAAAAAATTTTTCAATAAAAATTTGGTCCTTCGAAACTTTAAAAAAAATTTAATTTAAAAAAATAGCTTATCTAAATAACTTAGCTAAAGATTTAGCAGTACTAGTTCAAAGACAAAATTATGAAAAGAAAACCTTTAGAGAGTTTTTTCTATATAAAGTAAACAAATAATTTTTAATAAAAATTTGGTCCTACGAACCTTTAAAAAAGTTAAATTTTTAAAAAAATTGCTTACGAATCTTTAGCAAAATATGTACACATGATTTTAATATTAAACAAATAAACTTTTCTTAATTATCAACTTATTTTTTTTATTAAAAAAATGGAAAATAAATAAAACATATGGTCCTACGAACCTTTGAAAATATTTTATTAACAAAAATTAATTGTTCACTTTAAGTTTTGTTAAAACAAACTGTTGTTCTGAACAAAATAGTCATTCTTTTACTGTGTGTGTTTAACGAGAATAAAAACAAATTGAACTTAAAATTATAAAAAAATATATATATTTTTTAAATAATTTTTATAGTTTTTGTTTAAATAAATTTTCCTCTACTACTCCTTATTAAAAGAAAAAAAAGAAAAAAAATATTGTGATTTATTTAAAACCTTTAATTTGGTTTAAATTAAAAAAAGGAAGAAAAAAAATTAAAATTTAAGAAAATTAATTAAAACTGTTTTACAAAAATTAAGCTAAAATTTATTATAAACTAAAATAAAAAACCCAGCAAAAAGTGTAAAATATTCAAAAAGAAATTATTAAATGAAAAAAAATACTAAAATTAGTATAAAAAAATATTTTATAAATTTGCTATAAACATTTAATTTGTTTAATTTTTTTATTATTTAATTTTTTAAGTTTGATTTTTTATTTTTTTTTTTTTTGTTAAATATCTAATTTTTATAATTTGTTTTTTATTTCCAACAGAAAATTTATCTCCAATTTATTTTAATTTTTTTTACCATCATATACCAAAAATCTAAACAAATTTTAATTGAAAATCTTTAACAGCCAATTTAGTTAAAAAAAAAAATTTGCAAAAATTGGCTTTTTAAAATTTTTTTAAATAAAATTTGAGCAAAAAATTCATTAAGTACCTTTTTTTATATAATGTATAAAATAATTAATTAATTAACTAAACTAATTTTTAATTGTAAATTCTAAGTCCTCTATATAATGTAATAAATACGATCAAGTGAAAGTTGGGGGGGGGGGGGGCAAAAAAAAACCCCCTCCTCTTAAAAGCGAAACAAAACAAATAAAAAAATCTGAATTATATTTGTTATAAATTAATATTTTTATGTTTTATAAAAAAAACACAACAACCACATCTATATACAACATACTATATTTTATTTAAAAAAACAATTTGCAACAACCTAAAATGTTTAAGATAATCCAAACTACCCTTTAAACAAAAGCAAAAAAACAAAAAATATTAATTAAATAAAATGTAAAATTTTTAGTCATTTTATTAAAATTGTAAAAAAAAATTATATTCTTAAAATGTGTTTTAATTTATGGTTTTATTTCTTATAATTATAGATTTTAATCTAACAAGAAATATACAAGCAAGTATCCTTAATATACTCAAGAATCCCATTATGATAAAGCAAGTACCCAAATTCAACAATCAAGTTACCAAAAAATTGGCTTTTGTAGCATATAAATAACAAATTTTAAGCAGTTTTCTAGTGTTTACAGCAAGCAGTTTTTATTAAGTTCGCCTGGTGAGTATTTAAAAGAAATTATAATAATACTTGGTCGTTCGAGCCCTTTACAAATCGTTTTTGGTTAAATCTTCAATTTTAACTTTTAATTCTTTCACTCTACAAACTTTAATACATTGAAGTAAGGTAATCAAATTTAACATTGGTCCTTCGAACACTTTTTATTGTTTTCTACTAGAAATTCTAAAGAAATTTCACGTAGAGAAAAATTTTATATACAAAATGTTCCTTCGAAAGAAAAAACTTTAAAAATTGGTCATTCAACACACTTTCTATTGCTTTATAACAAATTTTATATTAGATTTTATAAAATTTCTTTATTTAAGAAACGATTTTGTAGATTAAAAAAAATAGAAATTGGTCCTTCGAACCCGCAATAATCTTCTGTAAAAGAAACATTTCAATAGAATTGATTAGAAATAGTTTTTCCACATCAAATTGAAAAATATTCTACTTCAATGCACTGAAAATAAGAAAAAAATATTAAAAATAGGTCCTTCGAACCCATTCCATAATGTACACATAGATTTTTGTTTAATCTATTAGTAGTGCAATTATTAAAAACATTAAAAATTGGTAACTCAACATACATTCTATTGTTTTACAATAAATTTTCCATTAGAAATTCTAAAATGTTGAAGAAACTTTACTTAAGGAAAGATTTTATATACGAAATGGTCCTTCAAACCCGCAAGAATATTTTGTAATGGAAATTTTAAGTTTTACTTTATATACAGGTCTGGAATTCTGTGATAGGCCTGATAAAAGAAACAATATATTCAATATTCAAAATAGGTCCTTCGAACCCGCAATAATGTTTTGTAATAGAAATGTTTTAGTATAATCTCTTTAAAATCTATTAGAAATTGGTTCTACTTTGATGTACAAGAAAGTAAGAGAAAATATTAAAAATAGGTCCTTCGAACCCATTCCATTGTTTACAAATAGATTTTCGTTTAATCAATAAGTAACCCAATTCTTACTATAGAAGAAAACATTAAAAATTGGTCATTTAACACACATTCTATTGTTTTGTAATAGATTTTCTATAGAAATTTATAAAATGTTAAAGAAATATTGCAAAGAAAAAGATTTTTTATAAAAAATGACCCTTCGAATCCATAATAATGTTTTGTAATAAAAATTTATATTAAAATTTCAGCGAACTTAATTAGAAAGTAAGAGAAATTATTCATAATTGGTCCTTCGAATCCGCAATAATACTTTTTAATCGAAATGTTTCAGTATAATCTCTTCAAAATTGATTAGACATTGATTTTCTTTATACATATAAAAGAAACAAATATTCTACTTTAATGTACAGAAAGTAAGAAAAATAGGTCCGTCGAACTCATTCCACTTTTTATACAAATACAAATAGATTTTCGTTTAATCAATTAATAGTTCAATTATTACTATCGAATTAAACATTAAAAATTGGTCATTTAAAACACTTTCTATTCTTTTGTAATATAGAAATTTATAAAATATTAAAGAAATATTGTAAAGAAAAAAATTTTTTTATAAAAAATCGCCCTTCGAATCCATGATAATGTTTTGCAATAGAAATTTATAGTAAAAAAACCCACAAATTTGGTTCTTCGAAATATTTTCTATTGTTTTGTTATAGATTTCTGTAAATTGGTCCTTCGAACCCATGTAATATTAATACACTCTGAAGTATTCTTTATTCTGAAGTATTCTTTATATATTCGAAATCTTCTAATCATTCATTTAGAAACCTTGTATAACCTTGAAATTTTAATACTTTGTTTCATAAACCAAAAAATTATTATAAAATTTCTTTAAAAAACTTACTTTCTGTAACTTTATGTTAACTTTTGTTCTATTTTCATTATTTTTTCTATTTCTAGATTTTTATTTTAATACCAAAATCCACATTTTAAACATCATTTCAACTTCTTAGCTGTTATAAAGCAAATTCTCATTTAACTATTTTTCAAAAGTCAAAACCTAACAACATCATCCCATAGTTTTAAGGAGAAACACACAGAGGAAGAATATATAATAAAAACATACATCAAACATAACCTCAATAACAAAATATAAGTGAAAAATTTGTAAAGATTATATAAAGTGTTTCGGAAATACACTGATTATTACTATAGTCTATTCTGTAGTCCAGTGTATAGTCTAGCTTAAATTCTAGTCTATAATTATTATCTTGTCTATAGCCTAGTCTATAGTCAAGACTAGTACATAGTCTAATCTGTGGTCTAACTATAGTCGAGTCTATAGCTTAATCTATGGTCTAGTCTATTATATAGACTATATAGTATTATATAGTCTACTTTATGGTTTAGACTATATTCTACTCTATAGCCTAGTCTATGATCTAGCCTAGTCTATAAATTTGTCCATAGATATGTATAGTCTAGCCTATAGTCTAGTCTATAGTCTAGTCTATAGTCTAGTCTATAGTCTAGTCTATAGTCTAGTCTATAGTCTAGTCTATAGTCTAGTCTATAGTCTCGTCTATAGTCTAGTCTATAGTCTAGTCTATAGTCCAGTGTATAAACTGTAGTCTAGTCTATAGTCTAGTCTGTAGTCCAACCTAGAGACTAGTCATAGTCTATAGTCTAGTTATAATCTTGTCTATAGTCTAATATATTGTCTAGTCTACAGTCTATAGTCCAGTTTGTAGTACAGTCTAGAGCTAGTCTATACTCTAGTATATAATCTAGTCTATAGCGTAGTCTGGAGACTAGTCTAGTCTATACTCTAGTCAATAATTTAGTCTATAGCGTAGTCTAGTCTATACTCTAGTCTATAATCTAGTCTATAGTGTAGTCTATAGTCCAGTCTATAGTCTAGTCTATAGTCTAATCTATTGTATAGTCTATAGTCCACTTTATAGTGTAGTCTGCAGTACAGTCTAGAGACTAGTCTAGTCTATAGCGTAGTCTATAGTCTAATCTAGTCTATTGTCTAGTCTGTAGTCTTGTTTTTAGTCTAGTTTATTGTCTAATCTGTAGTCTAGTCTATAGTCTTGTCTAGAGTCTAGTCAACTGCTTAGTCTATAGTCTAGTGTATAGTGTAGTCTAGTCTAGACTATAGTCTAGTCTATAGTTTAGTCTATAGTCTAGTCTATAGTCTAGTCTATAGTCTAGTCTATAATCTAGTCTGTAGTCCAGTCTATAGTGTAGTCTATAGTACAGTCTATAATCTAGTCTAATCTGTAGTCTAGTCTATAGTCTTGTCTAGAGTCTAGTCAACAGCCTAGTCTATAGTCTAGTCTATAGTGTAGTCTAGTCTAGACTATAGTCTAGTCTATAGTCTAGTCTATAGTTTAGTCTATAGTTTAGTCTATAGTTTAGTCTATAGTCTAGTCTATAGTCTAGTCTATAGTCTAGTCTATAGTCTAGTCTATAGTCTGGTCTATAGTCTAGTATAGTCTAGTCTATAGTCTAGTCTATAGTCTAGTCTATAGTCTAGTCTATAGTCTAGTCTATAGTCTAGTCTATAGTCTAGTCTATAGTCTAGTCTATAGTCTAGTCTATAGTCTAGTCTATAGTCTAGTCTATAGTCTAGTCTATAGTCTAGTCTATAGTCTCTATGTCTAATAGTCTAGTCTATAGTCTAGTCTATAGTCTAGTCTATAGTCTAGTCTATAGTCTAGTCTATAGTCTAGTCTATAGTCTAGTCTATAGTCTAGTCTATAGTCTAGTCTATAGTCTAGTCTATAGTCTAGTCTATAGTCTAGTCTATAGTCTAGTCTATAGTCTAGTCTATAGTCTAGTCTATAGTCTAGTCTATAGTCTAGTCTATAGTCTAGTCTATAGTCTAGTATAGTCTAGTCTATAGTCTAGTCTATAGTCTAGTCTATAGTCTAGTCTATAGTCTAGTCTATAGTCTAGTCTATAGTCTAGTCTATAGTCTAGTCTATAGTCTAGTCTATAGTCTAGTCTATAGTCTAGTCTATAGTCTAGTCTATAGTCTAGTCTATAGTCTAGTCTATAGTCTAGTCTATAGTCTAGTCTATAGTCTAGTCTATAGTCTAGTCTATAGTCTAGTCTAGTCTATAGTCTAGTCTAGTCTACCCTATAGTCTAGTCTAGTCTATAGTCCAATCTATAGTATAGTCTATAATCTAGTCTAGACTATGGACTAGACTACAGGCTAGACTATAGATTACAATATAGACTTGGCTATAGTCTAGTTCATAGTCTAGTACATAGTCTAGTCTATAGTCCAGTCTGTAGTCCAGTCTATAGTCTAGTCTGTACTCCAGTCTAGAGACTAGTCTAAGTCTATAGTCTAGCCAATTATCAATATACAGTCTAGTCTATAGTCAAGTACTTACAGTCTCACATTTGAACTCAAAGAGTAAGAGAAATAGCATTTAAACTAAAAAGAATGAAAGAAAAAGTGAATACATAAACAATTAACTCAAACATAACCTTAAAAAAATTCAACAACAAAGTGTAACGGTTATTTAAAAGTGTTTTTATTAACGAAAAATAAGTGTTTCTGAGACTTCAATTTGTGCAGCAGTAATACATCCTCTATTTCCATGGCTGCCCATTAAAATTTCTTCCAAACATTTCCATCACATCATATGTTAATGCCACCGCCATTTAGATATCTACTTTAATTGAAAATATATCATCATTTCTGCAAACCGGTAAGTCGTTTAAAATTCTATTATTTTCTATAATATTTTTTAAAATGTTGTTTTTATATAAATGAAAAATATTTAAAAGAAATAATTTTTTATAAAATGGGTTGCAAAGAGCTGCAACAGCTGTATTCCAGATGATATTTTTTACAAAAATTCAACATAAATTTCTGTAAATGTTGTTTATTGAAAAAAGTTAATGAGAAAAAATTATGAAAACAATTTTGTTCGAACGACTGCGATTATTCTTTAAGTGTAAATATATGTATATTGGGGAAAATGAAAATGGTCCTTCGATTGTTCTCTAAGTGTATCATACAGTGAACGAAACTGGTTCTTCGAACCCTTTTTGTTTGTTTTTTAATATATTATCGAATTTAAACACAATTTTTCTATGATTTTTTTTTTTCAACATTTTTATCACAAACAATTTGATTTTTAATTTTGTTACTTAAAAAAATTAAAAAGAATTTCCTAAGTGAAATTTATACAATTTTAAACTAAATACAAAATTTCATTTACAAATTTTTTAAATTAAAAAAAAAACTAATTAAATTGTTTAATAATTTTTTACAAATTTAAAACTAATTAAGCCAATTTATTTTATGTTTTAAATTTCTAGTTGCTTTAAATATTTTCTACATAAACCTAAACAATTTTAATAAAATTAATCACAGCTGAATTTATATGTCTTTAGTAGTTTATTTTTTTAAAAATTCTAAAAGAAAAATTTGAAAATTTTTTTTAAATTTTCAGGAAATTGATAGAATTTAGTCATTTAGCTAAAAGTTTAATACAACAACTTTATGATTAATTTCAAACTCAAAGAAAAAATTTATTAAAAATTTCAAAATTTTTTTAAAAATTTTTAAATTTTTCCAAATTTTTTTAAATTGAGTTTTTCTAGAAATTAATTTCAGTTTGTTGATATTGTGGTTAAGAAAAATTTGTAGTACAGATTTTCTTTTTGGTGGAAAAAAATCTGTAGTAGAAATTTTTCTTTTTTTTTTAACATTTACCAATAAATCTCTACTTATTGGGCCTTTAAGTGACCTTGATAAGTATTTTTCCTTTTAAACCCCCTGTTTTGCTGTAGATTTATACTAAAACTTATTCGCACAAGTTAGTAAAATCTGGCCAAAACCAGAACCGCGGTTTGCTGAAATTTCTTTACGAAAACGTTTAGTTCCTTAAGCTTAAGCTGGTAAACGTTGTTTTTTTCGACAGAAATTTCTTTTTAAACCTTTACGTTCTTCGAAACGATTCCATTCGTTTAGAATCGAGTCAAGTTGAAAACCCCATAATGTTCTAAGACCTATTTGTTGCTAATGGTTTCATTCTTTAAATTCTGATTTATCACTAAAATCCTGCTTAAGATTAGAGCTGGCATTAGTGGTGGCGGGAGAGGTAGAACCACTTTCGGCTGCATTATCCAATATGTTGGCCATATTGGTAGCAGCTCTACCACCGGGATAAAGATTTTGATAGAAGAGAGGATTTTGCAATTGGAAGAGAGCCATTAGGTGAGTTAATTGCAAATTTGGAGCAGCATTGGCATCGGTGGCTGTTTGATTTTGATAACCAGGCATAAAGGGATTGATCATGGAGAGAGTGGCCGCTTTAGGGGGCACATAGGTAGAGGTTTTAGTGGCGGCCGAAGTTTCCAATTTAATACGTTTGGTATCTTGAGATTCTGAAGGCAATTGCTAAAATAAGATAGTGAAAATAAAGAGAAAGTTAAAGAAAATTCCAAAAAGAATTCAAGTTTGAAATAAGAGATACTTACAATTTTCTTGGGAGGACGACCACGTTTACGTGCCAAGAAATGTTCTGCCGACAAAGAAGACAAAGGTGTCGATGTACTGCTGCTGCTGGTGCGTCTTTCAGGCTTAATAGTGGCTGCTTTAACCACTGGCTTAGGTGACTCTTCTTCACTGGAATCTCGTTGACTCTTAAATTGCTGATAGTTTTGTTCTCCCTCAGCACGATCATGTTTACGCTTATGGCTGATCATTTGGGTGCTAGAGTGTAAAATGAAATTGCAACCCTCACGCACACAATGTATATGATTGGAGACGGTGGAGAATTTGCAATCCTCAAAGGGACACTGTTCGGTTTTAAGGATTTTCTTAAAACCATCCTGGATCAATTGATGATCTTTCATGTGATAGGTCTTGTGTTTATCTAGAGAGATTGAAGAAAAGAAAGAGAGAGAAAAATTAATATTAAATTTGAATCCAAATTTGATTTATCCAAGTTCAACTTACCCATATCAGCCTTATTCTTGAAGGTATGATTGCAACCCTCCCGACAGCAATGATAATGCGAGGTCTTCTTGCCATAGAAGGGACATTCTTCGATCTTACAATTCTCATGAGCGCGGAAACGTCTAAAACCTTCCTGCACTATTTCCGAATTTTTACGATGAAAATTGGCATGCATTTGAACATCACTAGTGCTGACATACACCTTAGGACAATCCTCATAGATGCAATGATAATGAGTCTGTTTCCAATTATGAGCACAACCGGCACCATACTCAGGTGCACAATCATCCGAAGAAGAGAAACGGGCAAAGCCCAATAGTAAACTTTCCTTGCGTTTCTTATGCCATTTCAAATGGCGAATAATATCATCTTTCTTGCTGAGAATCTTACCCTGACAGGGTTCCTCAAAACAATGGAAATGTTCACGTAGATTTTCCTGGCGGCACAAACTATTGCCACACTCCAAATAGGAGGAATTTTTGCGTAAATGTTTAAGATTTTCCTCGGTCAAAAAGGAATCAACACCCGAAGCACATGTGGCCCCCAAAGCCCCGGTGGGGTTTTGCGCACCACACATAGCCTCAAAAGTTTGACCCGTCGAAAGTTGCTCACTGGAGGGTGGGGTGAGTATGGCATTTTTCAATGTCACCGGGGTGGTGGTAAGGTTGGTCTGTTGTTGTAGCTGCTCCTCGTTAGCTGTAATAAGGGAATCTTTAAGGGGCAAAAGGGAACAGGAGGAAGAGGTGGAGGGATTGTTAAGGGAAAAGGATTTTTCAGGGGTATAAGGCTAGAAAGAGAAAGAAAAGAGAAAAAGAGGGAAATTAGTTTGTTTTATAAAAGATTTTTCGTTTTTTATGTTTTAAAGATCAAGTTTCTTTTTTTTGGTTTAAGCCCCCACACATTAGGTTTAAGAAACGTGTTAGTTTGTAGATTTGTCTTGTTGTTCTTAAAGATTTGTTTATATTATTGCTGCCTTTTTCTGAAGCTTTAAAATTCACAAGTGTTTTTTTCTTAATTTTTAGTTACAATGTTGCTTTTTAATGTTTTTTTGATTAAAATTCAATTGAATTTTTAAATTGTTAAATTTCTTAAGAATTTTTGAGGGAAAAATAAACAAACTTTGTAATAAATAGCAAATAGCTTAATTGCTATTTATAGCAAACACTTTTTCAAAAGATTTTGTAAGAAATGCTATGGATTTTTTAACTTTTGTCTAAAACTGAGCTAGAACAGAACTAGAACAGAACTGGAACAGAACTAGAACAGAACTAGAACAGAACTAGAACAGAACTAGAACAGAACTAGAACAGAACTAGAACAGAACTAGAACAGAACTAGAACAGAACTAGAAACTAGAACAGAACTAGAACAGAACTAGAACAGAACTAGAACAGAACTAGAACAGAACTAGAACAGAACTAGAACAGAACTAGAACAGAACTAGAACAGAACTAGAACAGAACTAGAACAGAACTAGAACAGAACTAGAACAGAACTAGAACAGAACTAGAACAGAACTAGAACAGAACTAGAACAGAACTAGAACAGAACTAGAACAGAACTAGAACAGAACTAGAACAGAACTAGAACAGAACTAGAACAGAACTAGAACAGAACTAGAACAGAACTAGAACAGAACTAGAACAGAACTAGAACAGAAACTAGAACAGAACTAGAACAGAACTAGAACAGAACTAGAACAGAACTAGAACAGAACTAGAACAGAACTAGAACAGAACTAGAACAGAACTAGAACAGAACTAGAACAGAACTAGAACAGAACTAGAACAGAACTAGAACAGAACTAGAACAGAACTAGAACAGAACTAGAACAGAACTAGAACAGAACTAGAACAGAACTAGAACAGAACTAGAACAGAACTAGAACAGAACTAGAACAGAACTAGAACAGAACTAGAACAGAACTAGAACAGAACTAGAACGAACTAGAACAGAACTGAACAGAACTAGAACAGAACTAGAACAGAACTAGAACAGAACTAGAACAGAACTAGAACAGAACTAGAACAGAACTAGAACTAGAACAGAACTAACTAGAACAGAACTAGAACAGAACTAGAACAGAACTAGAACAGAACTAGAACAGAACTAGAACAGAACTAGAACAGAACTAGAACAGAACTAGAACAGAACTAGAACAGAACTAGAACAGAACTAGAACAGAACTAGAACAGAACTAGAACAGAACTAGAACAGAACTAGAACAGAACTAGAACAGAACTAGAACAGAACTAGAACAGAACTAGAACAGAACTAGAACAGAACTAGAACAGAACTAGAACAGAACTAGAACAGAACTAGAACAGAACTAGAACAGAACTAGAACAGAATTAGAACAGAATTAGAACAGAACTAGAACGGAAGTAGAACAGAACTAGAACAGAACTAGAACAGAACTAGAACAGAACTAGAACAGAACTAGAACAGAACTAGAACAGAACTAGAACAGAACTAGAACAGAACTAGAACAGAACTAGAACAGATCTAGAACAGATCTAGAACAGAACTAGAACTGAACTAGCACTGAACTAGAACTGAACTAGAACTGAACTAGAACTAAACTAGAACTGAACTAGAACTGAACTAGAACTGAACTAGAACTGAACTAGAACTTGATTTTAAACACTATTCCAAACAAATTAAAAACTATTTCAATATTTTCGAGAAATAATAAATTTTAAAAAACTAAGTTGTAAACACTTACCATTTGTGCTAAATCGTCCAAAGAATCCGAGGTTGTTTCCAAAGCCATAACACCCGAACACATTAATTTGGAATTATTGCCGGAATTGGCGCCCGAATTACCCGATGACGAATGAAGACTAGAATAAACCTGAGCATCTTCGTCTGATAAATTAATAGTCTCAATAGGTTCGAGTTTAGGCTTACAAATCAAATCAACATCATCAGTTTCAACATCACTTATCTCAGGACCCAAAGCTGCCGAAGTTGTTAAGTTGACGTTCGGTTTATCGGCCAAAATCGAGTCACTGCAGGGTGTTGAGGTCACTGTAGATGATTGAAGAAAATTGTGTTGTGATGAGGAGGCGGCTATAAAAGGATTCTGTAGTGGAAAAGCTGAAGAAGAAGTAGAGGGAAAGAGAAGTGCAGAAGCAGAGCTAGGAGAAGCAGAAGCTGAAGAACTAGATACTGAAAGTGGAGCAGAAATAGAAACAGGAGCAGTAGCGGTGGCGGCGGCACTGGGATTAAACAAACCCGCGTTGGCCAAATAACCGGCCATATTCAAGTGAGTTTGTGTTGAGCTGCAACTATCAGCTAACGGCGTACTAAAGCCGGCACTTTGGGAGTTCTGGGAATTGGGTGTGGTGGGTGTTAGTAATAAATTGGAGGTGGTTATTTGTTGTTGCTGTTGCTGCAATTGCTGCATCAACATAAACTGTGTCAAAGGCGGCAGATTATTCAGCAACATTTGTGTCATGGGTTGTGTTGCCGGTGCCGTCGCCGTTAGAATGGGCGAGGATAGGTGGGTGGGATTAAAGGAGGCTTGTGGTGTTGTTGGCAAAGAGTTGAGAGTAGTATTAGTTGTATTAGGTAAGGGACTGGAATTACTATTGGGACTACTACTACGGCTACTACTACACTGGGTGTTTTGTGAATTTTTGCGTGTTTGAGTCCTTAAATTCATAGATTGAGGTTGTGGTATACGCAATTCCTGTTGTTTAACAGGACTTTGGGGAAAAAATTGTTGTTGCTGTTGGTGTTGTTGCTGTTGTTGCTGCTGCTGTTGTTGTTGCAACAAATTCATCATATACAATTGCATAATAAATTCCAATTGAGAAGACATGTTGTTGTTTTTTTAATTTGTTATAATTTTTTTAATTTTTCACTTTTGGTAAAATATTTTCACTAAAGCTTTAAATTTTTTTAATAAAATAATTTTTTTTTTTTAATTTTTTTATATTTTATAAAATTTTTTTAATAATTTTTTGTAATAATCCTTGTTTTGTTGTTGTGTATTTTTTTTTTTTTTTTTGGTTTTCAAACTTCACGTAAAATTTTCAATTTAATTTTTCTTAATAAAAAAAAAACAAATTTTCTTATTTCACTTAAAGCTTAAAGATCGAAATTCTCAAAAGATATTTCAAGCTTGGCGGTTGAGCTCAAACTGATTTAACTCTTCAACTAAGAGCGCTATATAAAGCAAAATTTCTACAAGATCTTAAAAAACAGGCAAACAAACCCTCTCCCTTTGTTTTGCCTTAAAAAATATTATGCAACAAATTCTCTTTTTTTACCAGCAGATCTAAAACTCTCTTAAAAATTCTTTAAACAATAAAGAGCAACATATAAACAGGATCTTTTTTTAACAATTGTTGTTGTTTTTCCTTTTTAAAAAAGAGAAGTTGTGTGTGTGTTTTTTTACTATTAAAAAGGGGTGGTTGTAAGCCCAATACTTTGTCCTTTCTTTCTAATAATTACAATACCCAAACAGTTTTGTAAATTTTTGTTTTTGTATTTTTTTAATGCAATTTTTTTTTTCGCCAAATCATCCCTTATTGTAATTACTTTTAAAAATTGTGTGTTTTTTATAAGTAATTTTTTGTAGCGTTAAATGTTTTTTTGCGTTTGGTTGTTTTTTTTGCTAGATTCATTCCCTGATGGGCCAATGATGTGCCAGGAAAATGCTAATATTTTTATAAAAACTGATTTTTTCCAAAAAAATGTATTGAGTTTCAGCCAACGACAGTTAAGGAATTTCTCCTGGTTGTTGAATACAAAAAAAATCGCTCTTTGTTGTTGTAAGAGGGGGAGAATTTTTTGCTAGAAATGTTAAGGAATTTTGAATGTTAGGAAAAGAGGAAATTATGACAAATTTTTAAAAAAATGTGTAAGGAAATGGGAGTTTTTTTGCAAATTAAAACAAAATTAAAATTTTTATAAAAAATTAAAAAATTTTTTGAGTTTTATTAAAAAATAGTTTAGTTTAGTTAGTTTTAGAAAATTTTTAGTGCTAAAATGTTTTAGTGTTTTTTGTCTTTATAGCTGTCATTTAAAAACTAAACTATAGAATAGACTAGTTTATAGACTAAACTACAGAATGTATTATAGACTAAACTATAAACTAGTTAATAGTTATCACTTTAGACTAGAGTATATATTGAACTATAAACTAGACTATAGACAAAACTATAGGCTAGACTATAGACTAGACTTTTGACTAAACTATAGACTGGACTATTGACTAGGCTATACTCCAGACTTAGGCTAGACTCATGACTAAACTATATGCTGGGCAATAGATCAGACTTTAGGTGGTACTGTAGCCTTGACTGTATTCTAGACTACGGACTAGAGAACTTACTGAGACTTAACTGCTAGCTAGACTTTAGACTAGATTGTAGACTAGACTAAAGACTAGACAACAGGCCAGACTTTAGACTAAATAATATACTAAGCTGTGGAGTAGCCTAGACTATATACCAGACTATAGAATAGACTATTGTCTAAACTATTAACTAAATTATTGAATATACCTAGAATGTAGACTAGATTTAATGCTAGACTAAATTCAAGACAATATACAAAACTATAGGCTAGACTATAAACTAGACTACTAACTAGACTGTTGTCGAAACTATTGACTATTGATATAGAGTAGACTGAATGCTAGAATGTAAACTAAATTAGCCTATAGTCGAGTGTAGACCAGACTATAGGTCTATACTCCAATCTAGACTAGATATATTATACTATAGTCTAGTCTATAGTCTAGTCTATAGTCTAGTCTATAGTCTAGTCTATAGTCTAGTCTATAGTCTAGTCTATAGTCTAGTCTATAGTCTAGTCTATAGTCTAGTCTATAGTCTAGTCTATAGTCTAGTCTATGTCGTATAGTCTAGTCTTAGTCTAGTCTATAGTCTAGTCTATAGTCTAGTCTATAGTCTAGTCTATAGTCTAGTTAGTCTATAGTTAGTCTATAGTCTAGTCTATAGTCTAGTCTATAGTCTAGTCTATAGTCTAGTCTATAGTCTAGTCTATAGTCTAGTCTAAGTCTAGTCTATTAGTCTAGTCATAGTCAGTCTATAGTCTAGTCTATAGTCTAGTCTATAGTCTAGTCTATAGTCTAGGTCTATATCTAGTCTATAGTCTAGTCTATAGTCTAGTCTATAGTCTAGTCTATAGTCTAGTCTATAGTCTAGTCTATAGTCTAGTCTATAGTTCTAGTCTTAGTCTAGTCTATAGTCTAGTCTATAGTCTAGTCTAGTCTATACTATAGTCTAGTCTATAGTCTAGTCTATAGTCTAGTCTATAGTCTAGTCTATAGTGTAGTCTATAGTCTAGTCTATAGTCTAGTCTATAGTCTAGTCTATAGTCTAGTCTATAGTCTAGTCTATAGTCTAGTCTATAGTCTAGTCTATAGTCTAGTCTATAGTCTAGTCTATAGTCTAGTCTATAGTCTAGTCTATAGTCTAGTCTATAGTCTAGTCTATAGTCTAGTCTATAGTCTAGTCTATAGTCTAGTCTATAGTCTAGTCTATAGTCTAGTCTATAGTCTAGTCTATAGTCTAGTCTATAGTCTAGTCTATAGTCTAGTCTATAGTCTAGTCTATAGTCTAGTCTGTAGTCTAGTCTATAGTCTAGTCTATAGTCTAGTTTATAGTCTAGTCTATAGTCTAGTCTATAGTCTGGTCTATAGTCTAGACCATACGAATTGCCTTATTTTTGTCCGAAAAAATTTTAAAATTTCTTGATTCTTATCGAATGCAAAATGCAGTTTTAAAAAGTCCCATTACAGTCACGATCATCCTATTTAAATCATATTCAGTGAGTTATTACATCATTATTAGTAGACAAAAAGAAGTTATGATTTTTACAAATATTTAAATATTCAGATTCTATTTAAAGATGCTAATAAGTGTGTGTCCATTTTAAGGGAAACTGACCATTAAGATTGTCTAAATATGCTTAAGGGAATTGTTGAAAATGTCAACACAATTGAGCTGTTAAGGTAATGTAAATGAATCATGCTAATTTATGTAAAGGGAAGCTGTTAAAGAAAGGACTTCCTTTATTTTGACTTACTTTAGGTAGTCAACCAATGGTCATTTGTTGAGTATATTTATAATGAATGATGTTATTTAAGACGAGAGTAAGTGCTAGATGAAATTATGGTCAAGTTTTAGTTAAAACTGGTTTTTATTTGAGAGTTCTTGAGTAATGAAAGGGTTTAATTGGCTTGACCCTTATATTGGCAAGATGTTTGGGGCACGTGCCTAAGAAATCTGTTGAAAAGTCATTTAAAGAAATAAATTTAATGGATTACACTTTTGACAAACTTTTTTTCCAAAAAAATACTTAATTTTTTAATTCCCCTAACAGCTGCCATTTTGTTAAAGGATTTAAATGCTCAACTTTATTCCGCAATGTTTTAATAGATTTCCCAGAATTTCCTTTAACAGCTGCATAAAAATAATTGCAATATATTTTATTTTTATTTTAACATTTTACAATCAAACTTTTTTTGTTTAAAAATCGAATTGAAAAAATTTGCATAAAAATTAAAAATGGCACAAAAAAAATCTGCATTACAATTACAAAACAAAATGTCTAGGCATAGAAAAAAAAACCTAATGAAATGTTTGCGAATTATAAAAATTTTCCAACTGTGGAACCGCATTTAAATTTTACGCAAAAAAAACTGTATTTGCATATTTTCCAATTATTAAAAAAGGATTTAAGCTGAAAATTGAACAATATGAAACCCTAGAAAG